GTTTGAGACAGACTCATTTTGACAGGTGACAAAGACGACTACTCATCTAGTCATGTGAAATTAAGCACTTACGGGAATGGCAGGTGTGAACTGCCTCCTTTATACAGATTTGGAAGCATCCCATCACTCACAGAAAGTGCCGTACTAAAATCCCAGACAATTCTGGGATTATGTTAAATCCACAAAGGAGGCAAGCTAAGGCTGAGATGTGAGTCCCTGCCCTTTTACAGTCTGGATGATCTAGAGTCCCTTGTGATTTGGACACAGCCCTGGATACTTAAAATTAAGCTTCAACCCAAGGAAAAGTGAAATATAGTCAAGGCAAAATCAGTATCTAACACTATGCCACAAGCATTAATTTCAAGCTGCTATACATTTTGCCTTATTTTTTACTTTTCAGACTAATTCCCATTCATCATTTATCTACTACCATTGCTTTAATGGATTTTTCCCAACCCTCCCTTTCCATCAGTCACTGGAAGTGGATGTTAAACACTCTCATCAGAGCACTAGCGAGCAGCTTCATAATATGACTGGGGAAAAAATGTCTGGAGGTTTCCTCTAAAGCAGGGTGTATTCTTTATGTGCTTTTACTACACGTTGATACCATGGGGTGATAAAATCTTTGACATCTGGCAGTGTGTGTAACTAGAGCAGTAGCTCTGTGCAAAGACATATGGGCAAGAACACACAGGGAAACCACACACAAATACACTCCTTGCAGGTTTTTCTAGGACTATATAATGGATTCTAACACTAATCTTCTCCTTCACATTATATAAAACAAAAAACATTCTGGGGCAAATTATTTTTCCCTGGCCATAGTCCATGGCTGTTTAGTATAATTTTCTTCCACGTAGATAAAATCCCAAGTTTTCCTCAATATCATGTTGCATTAACATTTTAATATAGGACAGACACCGGGCAAGGGCGTGTCTCAAAAATCTCAGTTCGAGACCAACCTTGAAACAAGCAAGCTATATGCTTCATGCTGTATCCATTCAAACAGACTGCTAAGACTGTGAGAGCACTCTGGAAAATTCAGTACTACCTCCATTGCTTGGCCAGGTTTTACCTGAGGGGAAAACTGAGGATGTCTCCTGCAGGTAAACCAAACTCCAAGTTCTTTCTCAGTCTTAGTGACATGACCAAGAGTTTGAGTCTCTGGTGCTTCAGTTTCTTTGAATACCCCAAATAATCCTCTCAGTGACAACAGCAAAACCTCAAGCTGGAGAATTCCTGCCAGGAATTGCTGTGTTCACTGTGATGTGCCCACTGAAAGCAGCAGCGAAATTTTGAAATGCAGTTCCCCATGCTCCCTTCACAGCCATTGGTTCGTTCAGTCTGGGGTGAACTTTGTAGTGGACAAACTAAATTAGCTTCCAAGGAAATCAGAGCAGTAGCCATAATCCAGGTTCACGATGAATGTACTCCATCCACATAGGTGGAAACAGCAGGATTCAAACTAATGGTATGTCTTTGAAACAGCTTTGGATCACGAGCATCAGGAAAGTCTGATTAAAAGAATTATATTTATTTTGAAGTAAAGAGTCCAAAATGCAGATAAATTTAGATATTTGGTAGTGGCTTCACTACCATATTCTGTGTTTTCCTCATCTCCTCTTAATACTTCATACTGTGCACTAATGTAAGCACAGACATCATCTGTGGCTAAAGAAAATAGCAGATAAAAAATCAGGGACTTCAGATTATACCCTGAATAATTATGATAAAGGATTTTTGTAAAGACATAGGTTAGTATCCAGCATGCCAAAAAACATCTAATATTTTGCATGACTATAAAACATTGCATGGTTCCAAATATATCTTTCTTTTTATACAAGAAGGCCCAAGTGAATGCAGAATTTCTAATTTGAAAGCACGTCTGCTTCTCATCCCAAGACTATTCATGCTACACACGGCACTACTACCACCATATTTACTGAATAAAAAACTGAAGTACTAAATTCACAGACCAACAAACAAACAAGTATACAAGTATAGTAAGGATTTTCATGAGATTAACAATATCCTCTGAAATGACAAATATCTCCAAGTACAGAACGGCATTTATCTGAGAGCAGTAGCAGAAGGCATGGTTATGCTATTTTAAATCATATGAAAACTTACACTGACTCCCTACATGACACAAACTTGAGTTTGAATGGCCACTGGCCCAGACCCCCAAATCTACCAAGCCTTGCAGCATAAGAGCCTTATTGCCCACTACAAGCACTCACAGCTTTTCTTTGTCCCCTGCTCTGCTCTATTCCCACCACTCCTGATCCAAGGGAAATTGTCTTCTTCCTCTCCCTGTGCTGGCCTCCATCAGTGGAACAGCAGAGCTGTTGGCTACCATTTAGTGGAGACTGTGAAAGTGATTCCCAGACACTGAGGCAGATGAAACATTCTCACCTGCAGGTAAACTCCAGTAAATATGGAAGAAAAGTGAATGAATCAAAATTTTTGCTTTTAGGCTGAGTGTCTAGGGAAGCTCTGTCCAGATCTCAAAATTAATTTCTACATTTAGAGGACTACTATTGCTCTATGCCACATATAATTTCTAAAGTGAAACAAACCCCTGCCAAGCAGTTGCATGTGTACAATTGTATGCCAAAAATGTCTGGTTTCTAAAATAGATACATGATTGGAATGACTTTGTCCTTTGTATTGCATACAAAAAGTGACACAAGATTAATACATTTTCCCAGGTAAATTTTTTTCACAGAAGGCCAAACAACATCATACTTAGAAATATGACTTCTAAAAAGATCAGGAATTTCAATTAATAAAAATCAGGAATTTCAATTAATAAAATGCAGCACCTTTTAAAACAATTAATGAAAGATGTCTGCAACAAAAACCACATCTTCATATCTTAGGAGATAACAGATCTACATCTGGATTTTATCCTAATCAACTGACATGAGGGTTAATCAGCTTCTCACTTAATTTTGGTCTTTTAAACAAACTACAGTTGTACCCTTTCCTCAAATGGAAAGTTAAAAGCATTTTGCCCATAAAAAGTTTCTTTTGTTTGGTGAAAACGTATACAGGAGACTGCTTTCATTCCCCAGTGATCCTTCAGTGAGAAGTCTGTAAGCTTGGAAGAGGAGATTAAATAGAAATGCAGAAAGCAAAGAAAAAAAAAAAACCAAACATTGTCGCTAATTTAGTTTGACAAATCAGCAAAATTATGTCACAAAATTTCAAGACCAGAAATTCTTGGTCACATGTGACACACAGAAATGTGATTGAATAATCTTTAGAAAAATCATATAAATTGGAAACTGCATGGAACACTGAAGAGGATGAGCAACAGCAGATGTTGCTACTGCACAGAAAGGCTGCTGTCTCAAACACATGATCTGCACAGCAACATTCAAGACACCCATTTTCAATAGGCTTCCATGAATTCCTCCGCCTGTGCTATGACAACTAAAGAAGCATTTTCTAAGAGATAAGAGTACTTTTCCTAAATGAGTAGGTAGAAAAATAAGTCCTACTTACAGCACCTTCTGGAAAACTTAGAAACAGGAGGACTAGATATCATAAATTTACAGATTTGTGACATGCTCACACTTACTATGATTGAAGAAAAGCAACATTCTTTCCACTTTCATGGATTATATCAAGGGTGCCCCTTATCTCAGCAGAGCAGTTTGTTATTTACAGCAACTGTTTTTTCTATTTTTTTAAGCTTTGAGAGCACTCACACAATGACCAGCAGTGACAAAAGCAGCAGTCTATGCCAAAACACTTTTAATAATGTGAATGAAAAATGAAAGCAAAGGAACTAACTGTGAAAATTGCTAAAAGCTTGATTTGCTTTTGTAAAAGATGCTGAAAAATGTTAAAATACAAAGAGAAAAGAAGAAAAGCTTATGGCAGTTATGAGAGTCCCAGATACAATGCAAATTCTCAAAAACACTACTACACTGCTTCCTAAAGGCTCCTATTCAGAGTGCTGAGTTAAAAGCCTCTCTTAGTGAAGTATATGCTAAACCAAAGAATTAAATAATAACCTTGCAAGTTTCTTGCAACTTTCTGCAGGTCAAACTCTTTAGCTGGTGAAGTGAAAACCTGCTTATTCCTACCAAGATGAGATTCCCCTGGCCCACATGCTTCCACAATAGCCTAAGGTGCAGTTATAGCACTCTGATGAGAAAATACTGTCCTTGACATCTTAAGAAAATAAGAGGGCAACTATTAATGTTACACTATATTTGGGAAAGCAGCATGGATATCAGCTACTTATCCGGGTAGTAAACATGCACATGGTTACAAAATTTACTTTCAACTACATCCTTCCCTCCTTTTTTCCTCCTCTTTACAGTTATGTTTATTCTGTAGACAGTTTCTAGGAACTTCAATAAATTCATTTGTGACAGAACCCATCAAAACCAACCTACCTTTCAGAAGAAACTCACTTCCTCCACTGCATGAATAAGCTACACTTTCAAATTCACACCGTTATATACTTCTAATTTCATTGAACTGCTTTGTTACATTTATTTTAAACACAGATATATACTTACATTTCTATTTCTTATCAAGGAAGTCATAAACACACTAAAAATAGGATAATGAATGCATCAATTGAGTGAGACCACTATATAGTGTTTCTGGAAATATTTGTCTGAGGTGCAGCAGGAAGAAAAATTCAATCTCATAGTCCATCACTTGCAAATGACACTTCCTTTAGTTCTTGGAAACACTAGATACACACACAAATGAACATTACTACAATAAAATCCTACATGTCAGAGATCTCACTAATATTATAATTCCAAAATTACTTGAGGATCTTATTATCTCAATAACTTGCTGTGTCAGGCAAACGGCTTTACACTGTTAGTCTAATGTTGTAAATGCATTTTAAAGTCTATGGTGTTTTTAAGCTACTGCTTAAAATGAAAGACACTTCACATAAGGTTCCATGCTGACTCACTCAATCAATGTCCATGTTGGCATATAAATGATTCCCTTTCTTTCCTTACCTCCAGGTGCTCTAAAATATAGGGAGGGTTTGTCATGCCAAGCCTCAGCATAGCTCCCTCAGGAATAACTTCAACCAGCTTCCACAGAAGCGTGGGGAGGTCTGTGCCAATGTCTCTGCCATAAGCCCCTGTGTCTTCACTGGTCAGCCATATCTCACAAACACCCTCTGTGAATAAAAGAAAGAGATAATTAACAAATCTGTTTTAGAGCTGTTTATTTTATCATACAGCTGCTCACTCTTTTAAATGCAGTATTTCACATGGCTATTATGCAGCCAGACTGGGTATTCAATTGCAAAGGGGAGGGAAGGAGAAGGAAGGCTTATCCCATGGGTAGCAGTGGGTTATTAAGTTCATTTTATGAGCACAAGAGTGCTACAACAATGCTGTAAATTATCATTGCTGTGGAGTGATTAACATTCACAGCCAATGACTAATGCTGTGCTGCCTCTACAGCAAGTCAGACAAGTTTAATACTCTGTTTTATTTTTTGAGTCTAATTCATTAAACACCGCAAGAGACATCACCCGAGCAGAGTTTGCACTAATGGTTATTACAGTAGTTAGCTTATTAACTGGTAAGCTTCCAGTAAGCAAAACCAGCTGTAAAGCATTGTGACTGACATTCCTCCTGAAGTAACTATTAAAATCTTGTATTCTTTAAATTATACAATTAGTAATGCAATATTAAGGTTGCATTGAAAGGTTAGTGACCACTGCATGACTGTTTGATAATATGGGAAAACCTGTTTCCTGGCAGTTAATGCTTCATTTTCCATCAATCAGAGCCTTAGGAAGTAGTGCATTTGATTTTTATTGTAAATAGCAACTTCGAACACTGGTATTTGGTAATAATATCCTCATACCCAAAGAGAGAGATTGTACCACCCTTTAACAATAGTTGAAAGCACTGAGGTTTCATGCAGCCACTTCTGCCAGCCTGCCCAGCTTTCATCCTTTTTTTTGCCATACAATCCCTCTACCCTTCCTTACCACCCTAAATCAAGAAATAAGCCATCAAAAACAGTGTGTGTGTGAAGAAAACACCTGTGATTTACAGTAAGATAAGATACCATTACCTCAGTGAAGAGCTAAACTTCTAAAACCAATCATGAACTGGTAAAAGAAATTATCAAACACTAGAAGGTGCACAATTCATCAAAGCACACTTTGGGCCAGCAGAGAATGTAACAGAAAATGTAAATGTTTATGTTACAAATTTATACTCAAATGAGGAAAACTTAAGCACATACACTGACTTTAATCACATAAAGAGCAATAAACCTAGAAACCAAATGTTTTACAAAATGTAAATCCAAGACTGCTACTCCTAAATTCACACTGCAACAATAATGGCAGAGAGCAAGCCATGCTGAGCATCAAAGTTAATCCTGTTGGCACAGAAATGTTTTCAAGGTAATTTATTACTCAGAATGAAAAATGCTTTACAATTCAAGGTTAACTGGAAAACTTCTTACTTTTTAAGCTTTGCTTCAAGAATAGGTTAGTGAAGGAGATGTACAATTTGTATCTTGAGAGAAATCTGGTGTAAAGCATTCCTGAAGTACAAAGTGCTCTTTGGTCGACCATTTGCAGTCACAAGTTTGTAGTCACACTCAAGCTGAGCTCCCTGTGCAGAATCTGCCTGCAGGACACAATTACACTGTGGATTTCAGTGCACTTGCTAATGTTTTTGGAATTCATCTCACCACAGGCAGTACCCACCATGAAACATACTCTTGGGTTTGCTGCCTGCCCTACATTTTCCTGAAACACATGAAGAAAGAAGTGAATTTTATATGCTGTATGTTAAAAAATAAGAGAAATGTAAGGAATCTAAATGACTGATAAGGTCCTGTTTTGCTTAGTTTGGGTTTCTCTATATGAGCCTCCAATGCCATAAGAGCACCACAAAACTTATTGACTGGCTGAGTTTCTACTGTAAGAAAGTAATTCTCATTTGCAAGCTTTCAATCTAAAGAGTTGCATGCGGCTTGGGTTGGATTTCCTTTTTCTTTTTTTTTTCATGAAAATGGCTAATGGAATACTGCCTCACAGTTACCAGATGAACACTAAGGAAAAAAAAATAAATCACTGGCTAGGAATGGAAATAACATTCCGGTGGAAAACAACAGCGAGCTTTTAAAGCTGCATAGGTGGGGACCATTAGCCCCCTGGTGGGCTGAAACTTCAAATTAAATCACAAGAAGAGGAAGCAGCTGTAATAGTAAATCAGCAACAGCAGGAATAACTGTCTCATCTGCTCTCCGATCAGGGTGTTGAACAACAAGCAATGGGAATAATGCATGCTGAGAGATCCAAGGATGCAGTCCCTTACCGGGGGCAGGGGGGCGCAGGGAGGGGGAAGAACACCTGTATTTTAGGAAAAAGTTCATGTCCCAGTTTCAGGTTGACAAAATGGATCTTCAAATACTGAAAGCTACTGTGAGTGATAAATATTTACAAGGAAGATCATTAGGATAAATCAACTTTGTACATAACTGTGTGAAAGAGGTTTTGAGTGGACTGATTTTAGGAAATTATTTTTTAGTCCTTTGTATCCCCAGTTCAGGAGCCTAAACTTACACCAGGTAAGAAGAGAAAACAATAGACCTCTCAAGCAGTATTAATGAAGTCAGTCAACACCTCTCATTTTCAGTCCACCCCTCCAAATTCCAGCCCTCCACAGGAACCTGTTTAAATCCACTGTCTGATACTGTACATAATATTTTTCCTTTCTTTTGCAGTGAACCTCATTCAATCATTCACCACTCTGTTACTGGGCAATTTTGGTGCTAATAAAGGCAAGCTGATTTTGTAAACAAGAAAATTGATCCAAACAGGAGGCTTCAGATGTGCAAACTCAGAGCATTTGTTACAGTATTAAGGCCAATTATCGCTATATCCAAGTAATTACAATTCTGCCTTTGGTCACAGCTCATGGTTTTTTCTCACTCTGCCATCACTATCCAGCACAAAAGAGAAACCTTAACAGCTGGCCTCTGATCTGCTCTAACTGGAGATTACTTAGAATGAAAAATGTTGGAAAAAGAATAGGTTCCAAGCAAATGAAGAAAGTTCTGAGCCTATTCCTTCTCACATGTCTCACTATAAAGAATACTCCCTGCAGATTATCTGATACAGGTTTTAATTTCATTTCTGTGGGGTAAGCAATCCTTATCATGAAGGAGATAAGAAATCCGACATCTATCACTTCTACAAAATATGGGCATTCCTGGTTTAGAAATCACTTGAAATTATTAATTTCTTTTTTAAAACACTTCTAGCATTTTTATTTTGCTTTATCTTCATGTCACTATTGTAAACACTGTTTTTGGCAGTACCAAACATCCTTTAAACTGAAGAGAAGTGTACTCCATCAGAAAAATGAATTTATTTCAAACTGCAAAAAGATCTGAAGATGTTAAAATACTGGACACCAATGCCAGTGAAATTCTCACATTTGATAGCTAACTGTACAAATAAAATTCAATCCCCAAATCCTCATGATTTTTCTTCTCCTTCCTTCCTTGTTCTTCTCTTTCCTAGCAGATTTTTTAATGTGAACCACAGTGGCTTTTCCAACAGCACAAATCTCTGCAGGCTGCTTCAGTGGGAGGCCCCTGACTCTGACCTCCTCAGTAGCCCACATATGCTTATCAACAATTGCCTGACCTCCTCGTGATTCCTTCTCCAACACTGAATTCTTATGGCAGCCTGCAGGGCTGCACAGACCACAGAAATACCTCTCCCAGAGCACCACAGAAATCTGAAAGACCATCTGCCAAGGGGAGGCCTTACATAAACGTTTGTGTCTTGCAGACTAGAGAACAGTCAATCTGAGGACAGTCAATCTGACCATTCCTGATCACAATCTTAGAAACATTTAAAAACAAAAAAATCATGGCCAAAGATGAAGGCTTAGAAAACACCAAATTCATTGTTCAGAATGAGCTTAGCCTACTTTATTTTCTCTTCAATTATTTGAGTTTTTCCTTATTTATTCAGCATGGATTTTACAGGAACCATTTACATACTTGATGCAGTGCATTGTGCTAGATTACTTTGCTGAATCAAAGCCTTAACTGGGAAATTGTGAAGAACTATGCAAATAGCAGATCACTGTACCAATCTGGATATAATGCAAGTTTAAACAGAAACTGAGATTTGGAGGATTCAGTTTCCTCCTGTAATTCTGAAGTACTCTGCAAGGATTGATTCAGCATCATCCAAGTGTCCTCTTAAGACAGTTCAACCACATGGATCAGCACTGAAGCATCCCATTGCAGGGACTTTGCTGAAAGAGAAAATCAAACTGGCAACAACTCGCTGATGCTAAGGGGGATTTGGAAGGATTCACATCCAGTTCACCAAGAAACCCTTACTCTTATTTCATCTGAATGCATACAGGGCTTCTGGAAGACAGAAAGAATGGAGCTGGACACAATCCTATACAAACCCTAGTTATTCAGTAACTCACACCAAACTGTCATAATTTAAGAATACAGGATTCTTGCATTCTGGCAAGCAGATGATGCAAGTAGACTGAAGTAAAAAAGACAGGTCTAAGTTCATGGCTGCTGAAAGAGGCAAGCTGTCAGGCTATGACCTAAAGGATCAATGCTTTTTCTGTATTTTGTGAAGTGCAGGTTCAGCACCATATTGTACAGATAAATGCAGTGCTCATGACGCACTGTGTACAAACTGTCTCACAGCCTGAATTTCTAGAGGATCTTTATTAATGCTCAAAAGTATCTCCTCTCTTTAAAAGACCTATTTTTTTACCCTTCTGGACAGTCTTAAGGACATGGAAGATGTCCCTAATGTCCCTATTTTCTTAATGCTTGCCACAAACAGGAGAACAAGATCTGAACAACATCACAAATGTGGGCTGACCTACTACAATTGCAGTTGTGTTCTGAATAGGTCCAAGGACAGCAACACCACAGCCACTGTGGGTTATCTGTTCCAATATTTGATCAGCCTAAGAGTAAAAAATTTTCATTTTCACCTAATTGCAATTTGCTGCATTACAACTTATCCAACTTGTTAACTATCATCCTACCTCTGCAAGACCTGTCTGACTTCAAGACAGTCTGGCTCTGTCTTCTCTCTACTGTGCCATTAGGCCATTGTAAACAGCAATAACTCCTCTTAACTTTCTTTTC